CATATTTGCCGATATACCTCATAAAATTTAAGTAATTATATGTACAATGATGCTGATGTTATTGATTGAGTCATATTTAAACATAAAAAAATAAATAATAAATTTAAAATAATAAATATGAGAAGTTGTCGACATGAGAAGTTGTCAACTTATGAAGTGTCACAAACAATTTATATGGTAAAAATATTTTCTTCAATATCGATTTATATTAAGGTTATTTTTTTAACATGTAGATAAGATAGATTTCATATTTTATTCAATTTGTAACATGCCAATGTGGGTCACGAGGCAAGATGTAGGTAGCCCAACTTGCAAATCTTAAATCTTTCTGAAAATCGTGAATCTGTATACCGTTTCTTTCCACATTAGTACTACGTACCGATTTCTTTTTCGGACATAACGCAGTTTATCATACACGTGGAAATTATTGTCGTCAGCAGATTCACGTATTCGATTCGATAATTATTTTTCAAATGCAATTCGCATTTTTCTGATGCTACATTTAGCATTCAATACCCTCCCTCCCCCCATTTTCCCCGTCCTGTAAATTAATTTTATTGCGAAAAATACGCTTGCCTGCAAACTAGCGTTCCTTCTAAAGTATACCAGTTATTGCGAATAATATTATCACAGCCCCGGTGGTCAAGCTGGCTAAGACGCCTGTCACGGATTGAGGGAGGTCCCAGGTTCGAATCCTGGCTGGGGTAATATTTTTCGCAATAAAATTAATTTACAGGACGGGGAAAATGGGGGGAGGGAGGGTATTGAATGCTAAATGTAGCATCAGAAAAATGCGAATTGCATTTGAAAAATAATTATCGAATAGAATACGTGAATGTGCTGACGACAATAATTCCACGTGTATGATAAACTGCGTTATGTCCGAAAAAGAAATCGGTACGTAGTACTAACGTGGAAAGAAACGGTATATAGATTCACGATTTTCAGAAATATTTAAGATTTGCAAGTTGGGCTTCCTACATCTTGCCTCGTGATCCACATTGGCGTGTTACCATATATTGTTTAGTTTTAGATAGGGGTCTTACTTGAAAGTTTATTGTTCTTTATTCAATTTGGCAATGCCTAATGGAAACTATCCAGATAACATGCTTGTCTAAAAGACATCTTCAAGACTTCTTTAAGACGTCTTTGAGATATCTTTTGGACGTGTATGTCTAAAAATGTTTGTTACTACATTTGCTAATAAATTTTGCGTTTATATCAACATAGTTTCCATTAGGCATTGCCGAATTAAATAAAATGTGAAATCTGTCTTATCTACATATTAAAAATGTAACCTCAATATAAATCGATATTGAAGAAAATATTTTTACCATATAAATTGTCTGTGACATTTAATAAGTTGACAACTTATGATGTGGGCAACTTCTCATATTTATTATTTTTAATTTATTATTTTATTTTTTTATGTTTAAATATGATTCAATCAATAACATCAGCATCATTGTACATATAATTACTTAAATTTTTTTAGGTATATCGGCAAAAATGAAAGAGTAACTTTATCACTGTGCAATGTACCGTCCCTGAACACGCGAACTTTAGACTACCTGATTTGTCTATTATAAATGCTTCCCATTTGAAAAGTATTATATAGCCTCGACATTTTCGTATTAGGATTTTCGGCTTACGTTTTGCTCAGAAATACGTTATTAAAATTTCGGTCGCGAATTGCGGCACACCCTGTATATATAATATAGGAATAAAGCATATATAATACATATATACAGGGTGTTAATAAATCATCGCATTGGCGGTATACCGTCGGATAGCGCGCGAAAATCTAAGAAAAATGCCGTTTGTTACAAGTCGATCCGATCATTACGTTTCGAGTAATTAATATTAAAATAACGGTAGACGTCCACGGAAGGAACATCAACGTCTCCATAGACAGAATGAAACCAGCCTACACCACCAACGAAACGGAAGAAGTAGAGATAACAACTGTCCGACAGGAGCCGAAGGGAGAAGACGACAAGGCCAAAAGAGTCAGAAAGCCAGTCGTCCGATTCCAGGCCGGACTTTAAATCAACCAAGGGGGTCCTGTGGCGGCCGTAGGCGCCCTTAGTCCCAGTCTACAATAGAGATTTAAGTCCTAAGCTTTAAGAAATTGGCCAATCACGGTCAAGTATGAGAAGAATGCGCGACTGTGATTAGTCAATTTCTTAAGGCTTAGGGCTTAAATCTCTATTGTAGACTGGGACTTACGGAACGGCCATCCGGCCATCACAATACATTTCGCGACCCGCGCGCGCGACGCGCGCGAAAACATCAAATCCGAGAAAGGCACCCCCGGAACAAAACTTCGCGAGACACCGCTAGACGCCGCAGGAAAATAACAATATTCTCGGTAGTGAAAAACGGTGAGCAACAGTATAAAAGAGGGCAGAGATAAGCCAGTTCTGCGAATCGACTCCAAAGCAATCCATAGTGATATACCGAGGACTCATGCGCACCAGCAAGCCGAGAGCAGTTGTTACGCCAAGGAGACAGCCCCGAGCGGACAGCACCACCGGACGGAGGACCAAAGCCGGAGATCAAGATCGCCGAGACCGTCGAAGCGACAGAGGATCCAGTAGTCCAGTACCCGCGGAGCCAGCGACGAGACGGGTCCTGCCGCAGATACGCTGCATTGAGTACCGGCCGTGGTGACTGACGCGGATCGAGTTATCTCCACCACGCCTGACGAGACCAAGGATCTTCATCGGCCCGTGGGATCTCCGCGTGAGGCGATTCACCAGCCCACGCTATATCCAGGCGCGATTATTTTCGCAGATCTCTCCGCTGCCGCCTTCGCCGCGGTCGCCACCACGCACGGGACGGTGCCAGGCGACACAGACAGCGAGCACCGAAGTCCGCACTCAAGCGACGCAGACTCGCGGGTGGACCACGAGCGAGTCCGATACCGAGCCGGAACCGGAGTGCCCCTACGGTCCTATACGAGTTACCGTAACGGCCCCGCATATATCGTACTGAGAGCGTAACCCGAATTACCGCGCTTCTCGGTAGATATCTTTTTGGAACCGCGCCGCAAGGCGCATAAACGAAACCAAAAACAAATTGTATATAACTGTACATAATAGTGTAAATATATATTGATTTTACCACACGCCACTCTCATCTGTAAAGAACCTTGATACAGCGATCCTCCACAAGCGAGCGTACCTTCCTCTTCGCGTACCTTCCGCATACTCTAACGGACGGCAAAGCCCCTACAAAACCTATTCGTCTCGCATTCTGATACCCAAAGAAACCCGAAAACGCCTTTCATTTCCCTAGGAAAATAGGATTCTGTCCAAGAGATCAAATTTATCATTTTTTTCACATTTGCTACATTTCTGCCAAAAATACGATACGGCTGGTCTTGTACTGCTGGTTCAGGGTTTATTTCTGGTCAGGTTAGTAGCCAAGACCCAAACGAATCCAACAATGTACAGAATTAAGTCGTGGTTTTTTGGCACAACGTACTGTTAAGGGGCTATTTTAAAAGAAAGAAATGGTCTTTTTAGGGTTTAATTTGTTTTTTAAATAAAAATTCCAAGAAATATATAATACTATTACATTTTTTTGCGCCAAACGACGTCCAAAGGTCCTTTACACGGGAAAATTACGAAAACCTATATACGCGACCTAAAATGGCCTTATCACGAACATTAATATATACCATTCTATATAAATTTATCCAACAAAGTACAGACCCAAAAACCACGACTTCTGTACATTGTTGGATTCGTTTGGGTCTTTGCTACTAGCCTGACCAGAAATAAACCCTCAACCAGCAGTACAAGACTAGCCGTATCGTATTTTTGGCAGAAATGTAGCGCAATGTAAAAAAAATAAATTTGATCTCCTGGACAGAATCCATATTTTCCTGGGGAAATGAAAGGCGTTTTCGGGTTTCTTTTGGCATCGGAATGTGAGACGAATAGGTTTCAAAATGAAGCGCCGATCATGATCAAAATTTTGTTGCACGGTGTTATTAAAGATAATTTCGTGAATTATTGATTTGCTTCTTTTTCAAAGACTACTCGTATTTTTCGTTTTCCATATTCTCCCACAATTCAGAAGTAGGAAAAATAAGCAAATCAATAATTCACAAAATTATCTTTAATAGTTACCCATTCACTCGAAAGAGAGATTCGTTCATCCATCCTCATTCATCCTCTAGACCTCCGTTTCCGCCGTATCCTCCATTCTTTCTATTTCTTCCTCCTCCCTTCCTTCCCTCCAATGCTCTATTCTTAATAGCCATTCTTCTGGCTATTATGTCTCCCCCAATACCTCCTCTACCATCACCTCCCACCCCTTCTTCTTTCCCTAATCCGTACACTCCTCCTACACATGTTCTCATGTCTTCTCCTTCCACCTACGTACCCTGCACACTTCCTTTTCTCCTCTCTCTCCCAATATCTATCACCTCTTATTCCCTCCCCTAATCTACATCTCGCTATCTTCTGCCATCTTTCTTCCTTCCATCCTTTCGTTAAATATTCCGGTATCCCTTTTCCTTTTACCCTCTTGTATCATATATTCCCCCTTGCTTCCTTTATTCTACTCCACTTTTCTTCGTCCTGCCATCTCTTCTCCCTTCTTACTACCTCCTCTCCCCTCAGCTCTCCCTCTTCTCTCATGCTTTCAATCTCCACCATTTCCCATCCTTTTTCCTTATAGAACACTTTTCTCTCCTTTTCCCAGTCCCCTATGTAATACCTAATTGTATTTCTCGATATACGATTAGATAATACTTATTGAGACATATACAACGAGATTTTTCCATTTTTTCCAGGATTGGCTACAATTGCGGTCGGTAATCCATCTCCATTGGTGAAACCACTCTGATTCACCCTGTATGCGTGTGTGTGCGTGTTCGTGCGCGTGCGCGTGTGCATTTGCCTGTGCGTGCGTGCGTGTACGTGTGCGCGTGCGCGTGTGTGTGTATATTGTTAATAATTATAAAATTAAATTATAATATGTTCTAGGTCCTCTTACGAATTTGTATCATCCATTTCACCTGCATGGTTATAGTTTCTGCATACTGTATGCTGGTCAATTTAACAATGCACGTAATAAAGACGCTATAACAAATGAGGATGTAGCCAAAGAAGTAAAAGCTCACGTCAATCGCTTACAACATGGTTACTATAAAAATTGTGCTGCTAAAGATACTGTAATCGTACCAAATACTGGTTTTGTCATCCTACGCTTTAAAGCAGATAATCCAGGTTAATATAAAATTTTATTACAATTACACATAAATATTTCTTATTATATGACTATGCGAATATATTATGTATAAAAAACGTAAGTATACGTTTTAGTACTACTTTATTAATATTTTCGAGACGAATGGTCACTATACAGAATGTTCTGTTACGAAACTGAAAAATATTGCCAGGCTGCATGGTCAGATGATTATTGTAACAAAGTAAAAAGACTCATACAGGGTGTTGAAAAAAAGGGTTACATATTTTGATAAGAGGTAGTATTGGTCAAAACAAGAAGAAAAGGTCTAATTAACATGGGTCCTAAGACTAATATCTTCAGAGATACAAGCTATTTTGTTATTTGAGCTCTTTGTCATTTTCTTATTAGTCGTGTCATCTTTAGAATGTATCTTTAGAACGTCTTAGAGAATCACGCACTCTTTCAAGTCACGCACCATAACTTCATTTCTCTCTCCTGATATTTACGTTTGGTTCGCAATAGACACCACAAGTCAGGAAGATAAATGATTACATTTCATAAAATAAAAATTGTTTCTTTATCTTTCTTTGTTTATTTCTTGTTTTTAAAGCACCTAGAAAAAAGATATCCCCATTGTACCCCATTCTTCCCTACTCCTTTGTTCATTACATTCTAAAGATGACACGACTATAATAAGAAAATGACAAAGAGCTCAAATAACAAAATAGCTTGTATCTCTGAAGATATTAGTCTTAGGACCTATGTTAATTCGACCTTTTCTTCTTGTTTTGACCAATACTACCTCTTTTCAAAATATGTAATCCTTTTTTTCAACACCCTGTATATATACAGGGTGTTAATAAATCATCGCATTGGCGGTATACCGTCGGATAGCGCGCGAAAATCTAAGAAAAATGCCGTTTGTTACAAGTCGATCCGATCATTACGTTCCGAGTAATTAATTATTGAAAATTAATAATTTGGTCCAGTCAGCGCGCGAGCCCAACGGACAAGAGAAGAGGCGCACGCGATGGGCACGCTCGGCCGTAGCCGCCAGCGCGCGTGAACGCATACAACCATTATTTAAAGTAAAAACAATAAAATTAATAAAAATTAAAAAAGTTTTTTGCTCAGAATTTTTTACATTTTTTCAAATTTTATGAGCAATTAAGCAGATATGATTTCAAACGAAATTGATTATCACATCTAATGCCATTAAGAATAAGATCCCATGGTCAGATTTGGTTGATAATTTGTGTGAACTTCTCACTCGTTCAAGAACATCGTGTACCACCGATCCTTCATTAACTGAATCGACCACCGATCTTGCTTTCACTGGTTAAACCCAACCGCCGATCTTTCAAGCCTTATAACTCGAAAAGTACTTAATAAAAAAATACTTTAGTATAGTGTGTTGGAAAGCTCTCGAGATAAGCTACAAGAATATGTAGTGAAAAATAGGTTTTATTTTTAAAAACTAAGATGACCTTCATATTACTTTGAAACGTTCACCCGAGGACAAACCACAGATCCATCTTACGTTTCCCTTCGAATGAAATAATTTTCATTTGAAACGTTTTTATTACAAGCCTAGGTCATCGAAAACAATCAATACGTCACTTAAAATGAGCCACCCTGTATATATTTGTTTTAAACAAATGTGAACCAGGACTATCTATCTTGCAGGTTGGTGGTTCTTCCATTGTCATTTTTCATGGCACACCGCAACTGGAATGAATGTCGTTTTCCATGTTGGTACGGAATATGACCTCCCAGACATACCATTAGATTTTCCACAGTGTTACAATTGGACACCACCAGTAATGAATGATTATTATGATTATGATTATAATTATAATTATAACTATGATTATTATAACAATTATTATTATTACTACTATTATTAATTATTCTAGATAAAAATATTTATAAAATGTAATCTTACAATTAAATATATAAAATTATTCTTTATTGCCTAAAAGTATTGTACTATATGTGAAAATATAAATAAATAATTAGTCAAAACTTATCAGAGTAAATTATGCCAATTATGAAGAAAAGATTACACCTCACGGATCTTTTCCATTTTGTCATTTTGACATGCGTTATAAATGGTGAAATTCTGAGTAATTTTTACTTAATAACTACATGCTAGTTGCGTGTAGTTTCTGAGATCGGTAATACTTCAGTATAACTCCAGCATCTCAAAAATCAATAAAATTAGTCTCATTCGACGCGTTTTTGAACGAGAAACAACTTTTACCTGAGGCAAAATCGTCGCTCTGCCCCGTGAAGCGAGATATTAATTGTTACAGTTAACAACTTTTAGGGTTAGGAAATCTGTCATACCGACGAAAGTCGTGTGATGTAGCGACACTCCACACCTCATGCCCATTCTACACCTAGGGATGATCCTACTTTTACCACATCCGATACCCCTTCTATACCTAAAGCTAATCCTACTTGCAGCTTATCCGAGGGAGTAGTATAAAGTGTAAAAGGGTATACTGTAGTTGTACTTTGGTACGATTGGAAACCAACCAAAGTGTAAACCTTTTACACTTTATACCCAGATAGCA